CTTGCATAGAGCCCTTCTTCAAGAATGGCCACAAGATTAAGTTCTGATGCAAATCCTGCCTGATCTGATGTTGTACTTAAGTGGTGCAAGTTCTCAAAGTCATTTGCAGATAATCAAATTACCAAAAACCAGTGGACATGCAGTTAACCTGGAATTCTTAAGAGTTGCCTACTGTGACAGTTGGACCTGGTCTAGACTCCCCTATTTCCTTCAAACTGATTTGAAGGACAGTAACTGTCTTCCAGTGAAGAAAGCAGAGAGGAAAGACGACAGATGTGATGAAAACAGAGGAGTGAAGATGATCATTTCCTTTCTTTTGCTGCCATATGGCAACTGAGTACATGCTCTATAGGGCAACTCCCATAATGTCCAGCACGTTCATAGTACACTGGATTGTGCATTCCAGTACACTTCCTCCTGTGACACTCTCTCCAGGAACTGGAAAGAGGAACCGCTGCTTTCCAGTGATGGCATATGAGCAGAGATATTTAAAGTTTCTAAGATATGCGAGCGCTCCTATCAGCAGCTAGAGAACCTACTTTTCACTGATTTGTCATTTATTGGAAGTGGCAGTGATGACAATCTTGTTTAAAAAAATTCCAGACATATTGCATGTAATACTTGTTTGTAATTCCCTTGCTGGACATCATTGTGATAATATTTTGTACAGTTTGGCCATTTTAGCTGGTCACATCTGCGTTATCTAAAACACAAGAAATCACAAAATCCTAACAGTCATTTTTTGATCGAGATGTCTGTGCAGTCAGCCAATAAACACATTCTGATGCATTATGGAATGTGTGTTTTTAACATGCTCTATGTAAAGGAATTTGACTTACTGCAACAGAGGAGCATTGTTTTGAAATATACATCATGCACTAGAACAACAATGGCCTGACCGTGCTGCACGCTTATTGTATATAATGTAAAAAAATATGCACTCCCATCTTTCTAACTCCTTTATGACTGTGATCTTTTTCTCTTTGTCTTTTTATCACACACACTCAGACGCACACGGCTCCAGACAGTTCAGATGAGACTTGTCACGTCCGTTGACATAGGGCCCAATTAAAGGGGAGGATTAAGCCGGGGCTGGGTGACCTCTTCAGGAATCTCTCCGAGACGCCGTGTGTACACTGTCAAAAATCTCTGACAGACCTTCCCTTTAAGCACTTTCACCTGCTAATTAAGATGCCCATGCATCAAAGTTTTCCCTATGTGTGCAGTACACTATGTAATTGTATGTGCGTTCATTCACCACACACACACACACACACACACACACACAAGACAAATACACCCATGAATGTCAGCAATATATTTGCAGCCCTAGAAGCTTCTGTGTAAATATTTGCCTTGAGCATTGTATGAGTTTTTGGAGCTCGCTCCAGCACACGTCAGTGCACAGCTTAGCAACAAGCAGATAGGGCATGTTATTTATTACATTAAATTATTATATGTTTTGGAGTGTGCATCTCGGTGGTGTGTGGCTCCTCAGCAACAAAAGTCAAGCAGTGTTTATGATGTGGAGAGATTAAAATGGATATCAGCAAGGCAGAGGCAGTGAGCTGTTGCTGGACAAAGCTCTCAGTGACTGATCACGATGAGGAGAAAAGGCCTGTGCTAATGACACACTTTTCTTTGATATTCTCTATATTTAGCAAACTGAAAATGGGCAGGGTTAGAAATTGGGGCACATTTTATGGGAGTGATATCTTGGAAACAATAGTCTAGTCAGAGATGGGGCTCATGGGTATAAATAAGGTAGACAAGAAAAATAAATGGCAAGAAGAAGACAGATCAAATGAAGGGAAGAACGACATGAGGACAGAGGGGGAGCAGTGCAAAAAATCCATTCTATTAACAAGCAAAATATAAATAAATATAAGCAAAAAATATAAATTTATTTTTAAAAAATTGCATTATAGAGCAGCTTTAAAATATTTTTTTTATGATAATTGGGAAATGTACGTAACTTTGTACTTTAGATGTATAACTGAATGAAAGAAGTTTAATAAGATAATGCAAATGGTGGTTGACAATATATGCAAGATTGTATAAGAAAATGATTTATTATATCAAAATAAGTTCTATCTTACTTTTGATCTTATCTTAAATAATAATGATGAGTTTCCTAATTTGCTCCATATAGGGACGGGAAGCCAGACAGGTCCAGGGACACACCGTTTGGCTTCCCCACATTCTCAGCTCTAACCAATGAACCCTTTAGTTTAGGGTTTAGTGAGGCAGTAGCCCTGTAAAACCACAAGCCTTCACAGACTTTTGACACCTGTTATGTAAAAAACACAAGGCTATATACCATACATGACATTCTCACATTATATTACTACGTTGAATTTGAATGTTTTTCAATATTTTTAATGTTCTACATTTCCATCAAATTCCATATCAAACTCAAATAAACAACTGCAGAGAAATCCTTGACGTGTCCAGCTGACGTCCTGTGTTGACAGACGTTAGGAGGCCCTGTGGTGTTTAGGAGCTGCACTTGGCCGACACCTCCCTCAGAGAAGAGAGAGCACAGAGCTGAGTTCACCTCTTGCTGATGTTCAGCCAGTACGTAGGAAAAGGAGGAAGGGATGCTTTACTGAACACAGGCTGGAGATTCTGGAGAACAGCACAACCAGCTGACAGAGGTTTACACAGAATGATGTTTTTAAATGCAGACCACTTTCACAACTGACATAAAGATTATTATAGAAGAAATATGTATAAACATAAACACAAACTGCCCAGACACATTACGTTCTGCCATTCATTTCCTAAAATATCCCAGTGTTTATGTGCAACAATTTGATGCTAGAGAAGGTCCCTTCATTTACATATAGAAGAGCACACTGTGCGTGGCAGTGCTTGCTCCTATGTATATTATAGGTTTCTAATGTTGTTTGCATTAGTTAAGGTTAAAGGTTGCATTAGATGAACTCTTACGTTCATTGTGAACAAAAATTCTCTTCCATATTTTGCTCATATGTTCTATAAAAATAATGTATATAGAAGATAGAAACAAGATATGCAGAGATTTTTTTTTCAATTTGTATTTGCTGTATGGCATGTAAAAAGGTTAGTGCTGCTAAAGAATGTGTAAAATAAACACAAATGGTTATAAAAGAAGGAACAGAACAAAGATAAAGAAACACTGCTATAAATATATATGAAAACTCTAACACTGTTCCCTATATTTGATCATGCTGATGATCAAAAATTTCCATATTGTTGCCAAAAAAAAAACCACATGAATAAATAAGTAAATAAATAAATAAAGGGATAAGCCAAATTATCTAATGCATCCATTTTAAAGCTGCATTAGTTTATTTTTCTTTCCTCTTGAGGACAGTGAAGCAAGTCGACAGTTACAATATTATCAAAGTTGTTGTTTTATTAAGTTAACTAACACAGAGGAAAATTTTGGCTGTCATTTGGAGTCGTACTTCTGTCAACTTGATAAATGTAAGTCTGATATTCACTCTTCTTTTAGCTCTGGTTTGGTTGTCATCAACTCTAGAAGTTGATAACTTAGTCTGCCTGCTGTTTGGTGCCGGCCTGGTAGTGTACAGTGAGATTATCACAGCTTACTCACTTAGACAGCTGTCTGCTGCTGCTGCTGCTGCTGCTGCTGGAAGCAAGGTAGATGAAAGCAAATGAACCAAAACATTTGACAGCTCTGAAACCAAAGATGCTGAAATACACAGCTGGATAATAGTCTAGTCAAATCAAAATTTTTATTTGCCATTTATGCATAAACAGACAGTCTAGGCATATAGGAATTCTTGTGCAGCTCTCCTTTGGAGTCAGGTAAGGAGTCAAAAGCCAGAAAGAACTCCTAGTCTTAAAATAAAAGTTACATAAAGGCAACAAAGTATTAAAAACCACAATACACAAAAATAGGGTAATAGTATTTTCCCCAGTGAACTTCAAACATCGCACTTAGTAATTCACTTAGTCTTAAAATAAAAAGCTTACATAAAGGCAACAAAGCATTAAAGCTGCAATAGCTCTCCATAGGTTTCCCACTACAAGCAGCACCTTTTATATTGCATGTAGTGCCTTGATTTATTTGTTAAATTAAGGTATAGGTAGTGCTGCTTTAAATTTAAAAATATTGTCAAATAAAATACAAAGTTACAAAGCTTTCCTGATTTAAATGAGGGACGATCTATTCAAAGAAAGTTAACAACCCTGAGAATAGGACCATGTATTTTGGTGGGCAGTTTTTGCTACAGTGCTACAGAATCATTTTGTAAGGTGTTTATGAATCATCCTGCAGTAGATGCCCATTTTAGATGCATCCATTATCTATACCACCTGCTGTATAGGGTCATGGGAGGCAGACATTGGGCGAGAGGCGGGGTCCAGTCTATCACAGAGCTGACATGTAGACAGACAACCACACACACCCACACTCGTTCACTCCTACGGGCAATTTAGAGTCGCCATTTGACCTAAGCTGCATCTCTCTGGACTGTGGGAGGAAGCCGGAGTACCCGGAGAGGACCCATGCAGGCACAGGGAGGACATGCAAACTCCACTCAGAAAGGCGCCAGGTCTGCCTGGGTTCGAACGCAGAATCTTCTTACTGTGAGGCGACAGAGCTAACCACAACATTTTATATATGGGATTCAAGGCAGCTAGAAGGAGGCTGATAGGTTATTTTTCATCTGCTGCAACAAGACAAGAAGTGAGATTTGCTACTATCCCTGCTTTTCCTGCGCTCTCCCTCCTGGCTGTACTGCTGCTCCACTATCAGTCTCAGGGTCTCTATCTTGATCTGTCTCTCCCTATCTGCCTCCCCCTCTCTCGCCTCTCTAATGACAGTCAGTCGGCCTGAGAGGCAGATATATTTACACTGGTGGCAGGGGAGGAAGAAGTCATCAGCCAAGCCCTGTCCAGGCTCAGGCAGGCGTGGCTTAGAGGAAACCCTGGCCAATTAGCCCCTCCCCAATCAGGGCATATCTTTCTGTGCTGTCCCTGGCTCTGCGCAGAGCTCTCTGCTAGATGGGACCAAAGCTTCAGCGACCCACAGCCCCATATACATGAGCTACTAAGGGAGGGAGAGTAGAGAAGAGGAGAAGACTGCTGCTAGTGTGCACACTGGCTCAGAGAGAGGCTACAGCAAGACAGCTGTGGTTTTTTCTTACACTAGTTTCCTTCTAGAGCTGTTGATGAGGCAGGCTGGGTCGGCTCCAGCTCAGCTCAGCCTGGGGTCCAGAGGTGGGCAGGGCGGTCGAAGTGTGTGTCACTTCTCAAGTGTGTATGACTTTCTTTTGCAACTTGTGAACACTGGAACTGTACTCTAAGCATTATGACTCTTCTGGGCTCTGAACACTCCATACTCATACGAAGCAAGTTTAGATCAGGTAAGACGACTCATGATTGACATGCACTTTAATTCTCAGTTGTGTCTCTGCATGCACTGTCAGCTTTATTAGTGTACAGCTGGGGGGGGGTCTCAAGAGCCTTGCGGCTTGTCTGTCAACACTTGGCATTTATAGGCAATCTCATATACATTATGTCACTGCTCTGTCTTCATGGATGAGATCATAATGTGCTCTTCAGTCACACACGTTAAGTGACAGGTGTGTGTGACATACTGTGGGCAAGTGCACATACAAAGCAGTGAGCCTAACAGTGTGCCCTGTCACAGTGTGGTGGATTTACGGCTGGGTGTGTTCTTTACTACACCTTGAGTACAACAGGTGAGGGTGGTGTCTTGGGCAGGCTGGGGGACTTCTTCTCACTAACCTGCTGCTGAGGGAAGTCGGCGAGACGTTCTCACTCTGTGGCTCTGTGCACAAGATAAAGAGAGATTAGACAGTGGAGAGGGTCAGAGGTTATCTCAATATGGCTTAAGTGGAAGATGATTGTGTGTGTGTGTGTCTGAGAATATCAAAGAGTGAAGGAGGGTATGGACTACAGCACTGATTTAAATTCCCCTTAACACACAGCAGCTGTCGGGACTTTGTATCCATCTGTCTCCTTCACATACGCCCACTTTATAGTAATTCCATCACTCTCCCTTTCTTATTCACACGCAGCCTTTCTTAGTAACTGTCTTTACTTTAAGATACATTTTGTGAGCTGGCACATGTGTGTTTGTACTGTACTATTCCAGTGTGTGTAGTCTAACCAACACTGCCACCTCCCTGCAACTGATGGTGGCAGCAGCAGAGCTCAGATCCTGCTCTCCGCTCTGTAAAACCTGATAAACATGATCACCTCTGACAGCAGCACTTCATGCTGGCATGAACATACAAACTGGCAGCTAGAGTGGCTTCAATTCTTATGTGCAGTTTGCCTGGGAGCTGTAATTGGGTTCCAGAAATGGCAGGGTAAATGATGCTTTTCCTTGGAGCTGTTTAGAGCAGATCAGCAGGGTGGGAAATGGCCCCAGTGCTCCAGGGAACACGAGAGGGAAAATAGCTGTGTTCAGAAGTAAGCAGGAGGCTTTTGACCAAGGTGCCTTGGGTTCTGTGTTGCTCTAACCAATGGGTTATAGCTCATTAATACATCATAGATGTAGAGATTGTCTTTGCTGCCGTAACATTCATCTCATTCTAAGTCTGCTTGATATTACAGTTAGAGGATTCATGTTAGGCGACACGAGTTATAACTGTTTGAGGGAATTTATGAGTGCATGAGTGAAATACAGTATGTAAGTGAAGTAAAACTGCCTGTAAATCTCTCCGTGATAACCGCTGATGACAGGGGGAATCTGGTTGTCCAGGATTTACAGTTTTCTTTAAGCTGCAGCAGCTCAAGTTACGTTCAGCTCTCTGAGAAAGCCCATGATCGCTGCTTCTTTAGCACCACGCTTGAACTCCATTATCAAAGCCATGGGAACTACTGTGGCATACTTGAAACTAAAAGGAAAGATAAAAATCTTACTTAAGTGCTCCCCATGGACTGGCAAATGTGAATGTGAATGTGAATGTGTGTGTGTTACTGACTAGTTCTCATGATTAGCAGCTCAAAGGGCTGTGGCCCGTGCCCTCAGGCTCACTGCCATTACATAACAGTATGACAGAAGCGTCAAATAGGAACCGAATCAGTACTACAAGGTGTGAACCAACTGTCGAATAGTCAGTCGCACACAGCTGTTGTGTTCACCAAACATCTGATTTCTATCATCTGCCACACCCAATCCACAATATTTCAAATACAATGACACTGGACGTTTTCACCTGAGTTACTGAGACAAACTGAATACTAACAGTATAGAAATAAAAAAAATTTTTTAATCAATTTTAGACTATTGTTTCATCCAAAATCTACCTTTCTGCTGTGGGTAATAAAACATTCAACCTGTTGTTGCCACATTTACTGTCAGTTTTTAGTTGAAATACAAACACATGTAAAAAAATAAATAAATAAATTAGATATATAATAAATCTAGAATATAGACCTGTAATGATCTGTGAGTTCATAAGCATAAGAACAACAAGACTTACGGAGCGGTGCTTGCAAAATGCACAAAACGCAAAATGAGCTCAGCCACAGTTTTCCTCTCTTCCATCCGAGAAGTGCTGTGGGGAAGGGTTTTAGATTTGACATTGTGGGGTAAGATTAAAGCTTCTATCTCACCTGAAATGCAACTGCCTTATCAAAAGATGTATCACATTAGCTTGTTCCTGAAGTGAGGCAGCGGCGGCACTACAAACGAGAAGCCGACTCTCAGTGGAGCTTAGGACTAGGCTAGTGGGTTGTGTATGTTCAGTCTCACTTATTTTGTCTTATTCTCTGACAAAGCCACACCCTTGATTGACCAATATTGTGCTTGTTATATTGATTGAAAATGTATTGACCAGCATATGAAAACAGACCAATGTTACTTTGATCACTAAGGAAAGTTTTATATCTCTAATAATACTTCTTGACATAACTGAAAATAAGTAATAATAAGACCAAACCTGGCAACACCTGTGCTTTTGCACTCAAGTGAGTTTCTTTCTTCCTCAACTTGACTGTCTCACTGTTGACCATAAATCACCGTCAATGGAGCAGCTCCAGAAACTGTATCTTAATGGGGTAGTGTTGGCTCTCCTGTGTCCTAGCTCTGGCTCCTGTTCACAAATCTGCCTCTAACTGTCCAACATCATAAGAATAAAACATTGGAGTTTTCTTTTAAGGTGGATTCTCACTTTATGCAGTGGTATTAAACTAAAATAAACCAAATATTTCATTTAGGAATATTAAACATTATACAGTTATGCTTGTACATCTGTTACAATCACATTCCTGCCTGTGCTGAGGGAGACTTGAGTAACAAATTCAACCAGTCCCTTTGACTAAGTTGTTGGGGTTTAAGTGTAAAAGTGTGCTCTTTTTTATTAGCATGTTTCTTTCTGGTGTAGTGGTTGTAACTGTGTGAGGCACAGCGGCACAGTACATCACAATATCACTCCGCTGGCTTGTGGAATTATCACCACTTCACCAGTATGGGCCAGGCCAAATGGTAATTTATTTACACTATAAATCTGAAAACTTGTAAATGTGGCTCTGGATTTGTATGTGCTTTGTCATCAAGAAAGCCCAAGTTAAAACAAATGTCCTCCGTTTCATAGTCGGCTGAGGCAGAGTATCGTATGGTTCAGCAATCTGTGATTACTCAGCCTGGCTGGCTGCTCTTTCTATAACACGTGCACTGGACAGAACAGGCAACCTTCTGCTCCTAGAGAGGCTCTGACGGAGACAGAGCAGATTATATGGCAGCTGCTGCGCTTTCTCAGGTAGAATTATTGATAACCTTTCAGTAAACATAATGCAGAGCAGCAAAGACACTCAGCAGAATTAGACAGCACAAACAGTAACATTTGATTTGTCACCTTGCTTTTTCCATGACAGAAGAGACTAAACCTACACATGTGGGCTAAATTAAGGACTGGCTTACAATAGAGCTGCCCCACTGGAGCATTATCCTGTTACATTGTGGGAATCTCTGCGAACGAACAGAACAATGCCAGTCGTACAACGCAGTGTAGAATTGTGTTACATGGGTTGTGTTAGAATTATGTGGAACAAATGATGTTTTGTCTTTTAATTAAAAACCTTTCCATGACCACTTTATGTCCCTCTATTTCCTCAATTTCTGAAAAAGGTGTCATCCCAATTAACAAAGTAAAAATAATTAATTTGAGCCATTTTAAAAAAAAGAGACCAGATTACATAGCAGCTGCTTTGCTTGGCTGTGCTCAGACAGACTTACTGATAAGTCTGTCAGTAACCCGGAGCAGTGACGTGTCATCTCTTGAGTTAAAACCAAAGGAGCTCCTCAGAATTAGCTGACACTAACAGTGAAACTCCATTTGTCACCTTGCTCTCTCCTTGACAGAAGAGGCAAGGCTGTTAACTAACCTAAAATGAAATTGGCATTCTGTGATGTTAGCTTATTGCTCAAGTGAGACAGTGGAGAAACTGCCAGTGTAAAGAAACTATTACACAGTTTAGGGTTGGGCTAGGCTACATTGCCTGAGTTTGATTTAATTTGAAAAGATTATGTATTAGCTTGAATTTGTTCAAACCTCTTTCAGCCCTAACTGTTAGACCTTGGAAGCAAAAAGAATAAAAGAAGCTCTTTAATAAAAAGGACTGAATTTGTGGCAGCTGCTGTGTCGTTTCAGAGAGAAATCATAATAAACCTCTCTGGAAACATGACTGAGAGCAGTGAGAACAAGGTCTAGCCAACACTAACAGCTACACTCCTTTGTCACCTTGCTATTTCCATAACAGAGAAGACAAGACCTGTGTATTTGTTCCTGAGTTCATGGATGTGTGTTTATTATTGCTGAACTTGACAAAACAGAGACTGTATCATTTACATGGTTTGGTCAGCTTTCAGTCACTACCTATTGCCTGTGTTTGCTTTCTGTGGTGTTGCGACCAGCAGGTCATGACCCCCTCACTGTAAATTAAAGCAGACGTTAGATGAAGAGAAGGGCCTGGTGTTACATAATGGAGGTGCGCTCCCATGATGTGATGGGAGTCAAACTATGAAGAAAGTCATTACATCAAAGCTGGAAGGGTGGAGGAAATTCATAAAGTGCTCATAAGTAGCCAAAGTCGGGTGAATATAAACCACCTGAGCGAGATAATTAACGGTAGGGAAGAATAGCAGAAAGTGATCGGGGCCCTGCGGAAAAGGAGGAACATTTCAAACTTATGTGTCAGATTCAGGATCTCACTGAGAGACCTTCAGATAGCAGCGGGGAGGAATGATGTGCAGACACACAGACGAAGAAAGCAAAAGAGGCACAGACGCAGGCAGAGCAAGAGACATGGGGGAGACTCTCTGTTTATGACCCCGCACTCCCACCTAGACCATGTCTACACACACACTCAGAGCACACAGAAATGTGTGCGCACGCCATGGACCACACACTGCAGGGCAGATCTGTTTAAAAGCCAGGAGCTGTGTTTATCATTCCCTACATCCTGCTCAGAGAAATATTTGTGAGCAAGCAGTGTGGTTTTTGTGTGTGTGTGTTTTCTGTATGCATGTGTATACTGTAGATACATGCATAACGTATATGTGTGTATGCTGAATCACATAGGTAGCATTTTCATTTCAGCCTGTAGATGAAGTAAAATTCTGCAAAATGTTCTAAATCAAACCATAAGAATTATGAACCAGCATTTAAAGTGGCTTGAAATCTCAGACTCTCTTCCTGGTTTTTCTGTATCCCTTACCTGTCTTTCCACATCTTTTTCTCACCTTTCCCCTTCTTTTATGCTCTTCTCATCCAACTGTCTTCCCCTCTGCTTCTCCTTCCTCCAACTTCAGTCCTACAGTTAAGACTTCAGCAGAGGAGGACACGAGAGCAACTGGCAGACCAAGGCATCATGCCTCGTGAGTAACGCCTTCCACCACCGAGCTGTTGCACGTGCAGGCACACACACACACACACACACACACACACACACACTGCCACTTACATGCTTTTAAGCTGTAGAATGACTCAAGCAGTAAAAGTGAAGAGTGAGAGAAATACAATCAACAAGCAAGGGAATGTACAAACAGTTAGTAAGGAGATGTACTGGTGACCCCTCAGTTGGGGTTGTACTACAGGTGACTACAGCAGCTGATTTCACTGACTGATTTGTTCTTTTTGGTTGAATTATCTTTTAATTCTGGAGCTGAACCCTTCGCTGGAAGAACAATAACAACAACAACAAAAAGCAGGGAAGGGGGTCGTAATGCTATAACTGAAACATTTATATTTGTGTGCTATTGCTGCTCTTTCTTAAAATGTGACTAGTGTCCCAGTTTCATAAACTTAATTGATCTTTTGGTGATGTTTGGGGATATAGTTGCATTCCTGGAAACACCAGAAAGAGGAAGCTCAATTTTGAAAGTAGCCAACTGAAGAAATCCCACCCTTTTGTTCTGACTCCTCTCCAAAGCCACTCCTCCAAAACACATCGTGCACTGCAACGCTCACTGCCTGACTACTACTTTCAGAAAAAGAACAAAATGGCCCCCCAAAAATATTTGATAATTACCTGTCCAGCAGAAATACGGCCACCACAGCTTCACTTTTCAGCCCCTTTCGTTCTCTCAGTGGTCACCATTGTTCAGAAGCCACACCAATGTTAATTCTGGTTTTACTTCTTGTGGCATCCAGTTCTTTTTTTAGTTGTAACTTTCTCAAATATGGTCTCTGTTTGCAAACGAAAGCTGCTGTAGGTATCTTCTCTGACAGCTTTAACTGTCAAAACACAACAGGTCTGCCTGCAACTGCAATGCCTTGTGGGAGACTCTTGCCTCGCACATTGAGTGCATGGGCAGAGTGTACACAAGTAGGAAGTAGGTTGACAGACAATTAGGCCATTCAGTGGTTTTGCTTGGGACAAGTAAAATTATTGGTCATGCTTTTATTAGCCTTGCTGCTGCCACAGGTTTTTTCCTTTATGTTGTCATTGAAAAAATAATTTCAAGAAATGTAACAAAAAATGCCTGTGGAAGGAATCGCCAACACTACCTTTAACTCTCTTTTTAGCTCTGTGTGTGGTCTCCACCAGTGCCTGACAAACATCTATCTCTTTAGCCGCTAGTCACTAACTGTCTGTTGGTATTAGAGCTTTTTAACTGAAAAACTGTTGGAAACTAGACTGACAGAATTAAAACTCCTAAGTAAATCCAAAACAATGAACTGAAAGGCACTAAAATTCTCTGTAGAGCTGAGGTGAACTGCTGGGGTGGGTGATAATTCTCTCTAACTTGAGACTTTAGAATAGAAAAATATTAATTAGTGCAGCTAAAATGTGCAAATATTGTAATTCAAGCACTGAAAACAAGCAATTTTGTAATTTAGAACCGTAATAATGAATATTTTGTGTGTTGACCGGTTGGGAGAGCAGCATGAATGTAAAAGTTCAAACATCCAGTCCAGTGTGGGAAATATGAGCAGTTATTGCCTTTTTCAAATGTGCCCTTTAATTAGAGGTCCCCTTGGCTCAATCAGTATTATTTTGAAAGTCTTGGAATGCAGTTGTGAGAAGCGGCTTTTCCCCAAGTTTCACATGAATCAGATCATTGAGTCTGACATATTGCATGACATGTGAAAAGAAACAGAAAAAAAATAAAGTAGTTTTGTGCTGGTTTATTGCGGTTTTGAAACTAAACAATAAAATCAGATGCCAGCTGCTTGTAAAAGAACCAGCGAAGAAGAGAGAGAAACAAGGATAGAGACGGAGGTGAAGGGTTCAGCTCCAGAATTAAAAGATAATTCAACCAAAAAGAACAAATCAGTCAGTGAAATCAGCTGCTGTAGTCACCTGTAGTACAACCCCAAATCAGAATAAGTTGGGACGGTATGTAAATTCAAAATTAAAACTGAATACAGTGAATTGTAAATCATCTGTGTCCTGTGTTACATTGAAAATAATACAGCAGCACATTGTTTGATGTGATACCTGATCAGAGAGCACAATCATCCAGGCTTGACCCTCGCCCTTTACGCACTGAAATCCCTCCAAATTCCTTGACTGTTTTAATCATGTTCTGCATCGCAGAGGGCGACATATCCGAATCCCTTCCTCTCTTTCTTTAAGGAACATTGTTTTTAAACATTTCAATAAATTTCTCACACATATTTTGGCAAACTGGTGGTCCTCGGCCCATCTTTGCGCCTAAAGGGCTTGGTCACCTGTTGGCATCACCTGTTTCAAATGGAATCTTTTCATAGTTTTACCTCATTACTGGCCCTGAAATACAACATCCCAACTTTTTTTGGAACGTGTTGCAGGCACCAGTGAAGTGAGTGTTTATTTTGAACAAAGAATAAAATTGATGAGGTATCACATCAAATAATGTGCTGCTGTGTTGTTTTCAATGTCATACAGGACACAGATGATTTACACATCACTGTTTTCAGTTTTAATTTTGATTTCATATACTGTCCCAGCCTTTTCTGATTTGGGGTTGTAGTAGTAGCATTAGACCTGGGCTTGATTTAGAAACTTATTTTGAACAAAACAAAATCGAAAGCATTACAAAAAACAGATATTTACACTAACAGTTGTACTAAAGAGAAGCAGACTGAGCAGAAGCAAGAGATAAATCCACAGGCAGAGGGAGCAGGTGGATATATGCAGCCAGCGAGTCGGCCGACAGGTCGGTGAGTGACCGCTGAGGAATGCTCTCATGCTGGAAGAGGCTCTTGGCCTCAGAAGGAACAGACTGCTCTGCCAGATTTACATAGATGGTACCTGTTTACAGCACAGCACTGCATCATACCCAAATGCAACATTGAGCGTGAGCTGCCAGAGGCTTTGTACTGTTACTGTCACATAAGATATAAATAATGTTGCTAAGAACATGTAGACCTGGTTGTTCTGAGCGTACTCTGGAGGCACTGTTGCTACAGTGTGTGACCTCCCGTGTTCTCTAAGTCAGGGCAGCGCTGTAATGCCACTCGCTAAGCTTGAACTGCCAACACACGGTCATTTCAAATATTCAAAGCAAAACGCTCTGTTTGTTTAGCATGAGACATTACGCAGCAGAGAGCCTCTTATAAACTAAGATCTTATCGATTTCTGATACTTTAAAGCAAAGTTGTGTCGTTTTGGCAAACATGGGAGCAATGAGCGGTGCCAGTGTGTAGTGCAAGAACAACAGGGGGACTGGGGACTTGGACAGCGGGCCGGGGATTTGTTGAATGATATCTCTGGCACCGTTTGCCATTTCACAGAGGCTCCAGCCTTCAGATAAACTGCTGGTAAGTGTGCGGGGGAATGGAATCCAGAGGCCCGGCAAGGCCCTATCAGTTTCTAGGAGTCTGTGTCAGATAAGGCAGTAAGGAGAAATGCAATTGGCCAGTGCTTTTTTAAAAAAGAATTTCCAATTGGCTGTTTATCTCTTGATTGCAGGCAGTGATGCAGATGGAAGAGGGTTGCAAAGACTTGTATTTGTTAGTAGACACTTTCTTACACCCACGCACTGGATGCCTTATCACTCACCAGAACATCATCTTAGCTTTTTATGTCTGCCCCCCAGAAATCAGACTTCTTCGGGGTGACACAGCATCCTCCTCCTCTGCTGCTGTCGCTGGTATCCTTCAGATGCTGCATCCTTCAGATTCTGCCTGTGTTATTCCTGCTTGTGAGATGGACACGGCACAGGGTCTGTGTATACATTACCCAGGGAACATCTGGTGTTTATTAGCTATTCAAGAACCCACCCCAGCCTCTCTGGCCTGACTGGCGTGTGGCCTGCATAGGAGCACACTGTCTGCCTGCGGGCCTCAGGTCTGCCTCTGCACACACAACAATCTAATATTTCCTTGTAAAGATAACAGGGCTGTAGCTGAAGGTTTACTGTGCTCTTTCCTGTGCACTATTGTGCATAAAATCACCCCATGTTCATGTTGACAGCAGCAGCGCTTTAATCCTCAGTGGAATGAAACACAAAGGGAATCATTCCTGACTAATGCACCACACATCTTTCCTCTTAGTGTAGTGTTTATATTTGACAGATCCAGTCAGCAGGTATATGTATTTCAATGAGTTTAAAGTGCATATATGTTTTAATACTACTACAGAATGTTTAAACGTCTGCAAGCCAGCTTCAGACTCACCGGACTGTGTAACATTATACCCATGCGAGTCAGTTCAGCCACGGTCGAACGCGTTTTCAGGCAGATTGCTTAAACAGTTGAAACCGGCTAAAAGCTCTGTGTGTTCCTGGGATGCTGAATCAGGTGAGGGTGGAGAGTGTGTGAAGCTGAGTTATAAAGAAGTGATGATGTCACCCTGCTGGTGGATGGTGACGGCTCACCAGTGAGCCCGCGGGCTGACAGCTTCCTTCTGAAGATGGGCACTGGCCGACCTACTGCCCTTCACAACCTTTCTTTCTTTCTTTTCTCCATTTTTTTTATTGTAACCTTATTTCTACTGTAAAATTTTCTCTTTCCTATTTCAACCTTTATTTTGACATATTGTTTGTCTTTCTAGTGTCATTTCTAGTGTTTCTCTTTCCTCCTCTTCCTTCCTTCCTCCATCTTATTTAAAACCTAATTTCTTCATTTGTTTGTTTTCTCTTCTCTCTATTTTTATATAAGCCTTTCTTCCACTTTCTTTCCTTCCTTTCATTTCTATTCTGGCCTCCCGTTGTTATTTAAACCTTCACGTCTACATGATTTTTTTTTTATTTGGTTCTGTTGGTTTTCTTTCCTTATTTCTTTTTCTTCCTACCTTTATTGCCCCCGTTCTGCCATTTTACAACATTACTTTTATCATACATTTGTCTTCCACAGCTTTTTTCTAAATATTAATTGCGTTCATCCATCTCTTCATCTTCCATCACAACGTTCAGCCTACTCGTCCTTAGTTTTTCTTACCTTACATCCT